TGAGTTAATTTTTGTGAAAGTTTAAGGCTCCTGTCTAGATTCATTTTCTGAAAAATTTTGGGCATGATATCCAATTATTGTATTCCCTTTGTTGAAAAAAGTGTTTCTTCCCCTTTGACCTCTCCTTGCTCCTTTGTGAAGATCATTTGATTGCAACTTTGTGGGTCTGTTTATGAGTCCCCTATTCTGATCCATTTATCTATCTATTCTTTTAACAGTATCATATTATTTTGATTATGGAACTTTATAGTAAGTATTGAAATCAAGTAGTATCTTCTTTTTCTTCCTCTTCTTCCTCTTCTTCCTCTTCTTCTTCAGCACCATGTGACTATCTTGGACTATCCTCCATTGTTCCCAGCTTCCTTTTAACTTGATTCTAAAAATGAGAGTGTTTATGAGTCTCCATTTTTCTCAGTACTCCACTCCTTTTGACATAACCTCAGGCCATAGTGGCATATTTACCCAAGAATGATTTCCTAATTTTTCCACTTCCATCATTTTTCTTAATTGTTTTGAAACATTTTAATCCAAAAACTACATTAATTACCCATATTGATTTCATCTGGACATCTCTAACTTCCAACCAGAGATTTTATTAACATGAGATACTGTTATTACACTTTTGATACTATTACCATAAAAGTAAAAAGCAGAAATAAATATGTAACCTGACAGCAAGTGCAATGAGTGCCAGCTTAAATTCAGGTGAGTCACTAAATTACGTGTTCAGAGGAGGAATTAGACTAAATGTAGGTGATCCTCCCTCTCCAAATAGCTAGCAGATTTAAATGTCATTATTTGCTTTGCGCATACCGAAGACTTAAACTGGAGATTAAGAAGGTGATTGTTGAAGGAACTTCTTTCAAAAGAAATATGCACAGAGTACACCTATTCTCCTTCATAAATGAGGCCTCTCTCCAGTCTTTAGGGTTACTTCAGGAGGACCTCCTATATGTTCTCTGCTGTTAGAAGTCACTAAGCTGAGAAAATTAGAGTGTAGCAGAAACCAGCTGTATGTGAGAAATACCCATTTCTAAAGTTATCAGAAAGGCAACTTCCTGGGGACAGATGCAGACCCTGGTGGAGTGGTAACCTGGATCACTGTACAGGAACTGTGGACCTCTGGTTTCAGCCTTCATAGAGTATAAATTGTCAAACCTACTTTCAGTGGTAAACAAACTGAAGCTGGGCCGCCTGTCATCTTAGCAGTTAGGAAGCTGGGACAAGCGGATAGCTGCTAGCTCAAGGACAGCCTGGGCCAGATAGTCAGTTCAAGGCTAGCCTGAACATACCAAGACCCTGTCTCACACACAAAAAAATTAATCAAACTGGACAGAATGTAGGAGGCACGGTTTCAGCTTATGTATGGGCCACGGATAGTATAAGGTCATGATGATTAGAAGAAGTAATCACTTCTAGGAAGCTCCACTGCCCCCTGGCTCTCTACAAGAGAAAACACTGCAAAGATCTGGGGCCTGGGAAGAGAATGAAATGATAAAATTCAAGGCTATGAGCTGAAACTTGGCAGTCATGCACTAAAGAAGCTGCTCAGAGAGAGAATATGGGAATGGATGAATTTTCTTGAGTCTTTGGCCAAACCTTACTTTGCAATTCAGAGTGAGATCCATCAGGCTGGATTTAACAGAGAATAACCACTAAGAAACTTAGACAGAAATTCCAAGGCTTTTAACAAAGAAAGATATATTTCTGCCCTAACCAATGGAGCAGAAAGCTCCAGAAACAGATATTCAACTGAGATACTCATCAAAGATTTCATGAAGACCATGGATAAGGAGGTGGATTATTTTTACCATAAAACAGAGGTTCACAAACTTTATAATGAAGACATAGATGGTAGACAGTTTAAGCTGTGCATGTTGTGCACAAACACCCTTACCTCTTTCTATCAGTTTGTGTATTCTCTTCTAGGAAGCTGTGTGTGTGTACCCTCTTATCACTAGCTGGAGATATTCTGGGGTGATAAATGACCTTTCCAAGGAAGAGAGCAGGTGGACCAGGCAGGAGGTAGGAGGAATGTTTATGATCACACAGGTGAGCCTCTTTTTCAGCCCAACAACCTCCAGATTCTGAAGACTTATCTTCCTAGAGAGCATAACTATCTCAGGAGAGTCACTGATTCAGAAACAGAGAAACTCCACTGTGCATGCAGTTCTGTGGGAAACAGGTGCTGGGAGAACAAGGGTCTGAGCAGAGGAAACAGCAGGCATGGTGTCTCTGGCTTGCAGCACTGTTCCATCCCAGAGATCCCCACTGGGCTGAACTTGGCTCTCAGGCTGTAGATGCTAATTACTACCCTCTAGTAGGAACTGTTCTAGTCCACCGAGACCAAGACCCCAACTAAGCTTCATTTGGTCAGGTCCAATTGCCAGTAGTACGTTTGCAGAAAACAATATATATTTGAAGAATGATTGTACATTGTATAAATCTGATGGAGTATATTAACAACTCCAAGAAATTCAATAAACCTTAAACAAGAGAGAGGAATTTTGCCCAAAAAAATCCAAGTAACTAAATTATTAGGGTTGTAGGACTTATTACTCAAGCCAGCTGTTAGCCAGCAAGCAGGGCACTGCCTACACGAGGGAGCAGGTGGCCCTTGATCTAGACAACATACTAGTCTCTGCAAGCAAAATGATTGCTCACAATGTGACAGCTTATAAATCAGCAGAACCGCACTTTCCTCTTAGTGACCCCCAACCCTTCTTCAGAAGCACAGGTAATTCTGAGGTACAACCAGTGCTTGACATATAAGGAGGCCCTGGGTTCAAATTCCAGCACAAAGAAAGGTGGGGATGGAGTGAGAGAGAGAGAGAGAGAGAGAGAGAGAGAGAGAGAGAGAGAGAGAAAGGAAGAATAAGAAGAACAAGAATAAGAGGAGGAAAGAAGAAAGGAGATAGAGGAAGAGGACAAAGAGAAAAGGAGACAGGAGAGCGGAGGAGGTAAGGGGATGTAAGAAAGAGAAAATAAATATAAAAATAGCAAGTGGGTGAGGATCAGTAGTAGGGAGGAAGGAGGATCACCTTCTTCTAGACCCCAGGCTTCTCAGTCCCTACCCACACTGTGGGGGAGAACTCTACTAATAAATCAGGTTTGCGGGACTTATCCAACTCTAGTGAGTACATAGTTCACCTGGGTGTCTTGTGCTAAGCTCTATGACTGAGGTGGAGCCAAGGGCAGTATTTCTAAGGAGGTCCTAGGGGACGTTAACAATGTTCAATCCATACCACTCTTCAATAGTGAGGGTTCAAACTTATACCTGGGCCTACAAATTCTTAACTACTGAATACAGTCTGTAACATTAAGCAATCATAGACTTGCAACAGTGTAAGCGGGACCTATGAACAGCCAGAGTTTCCATGCTGGTACTAGGGAAGGATCTCCCAATAGTAAGTAATGTTATAGGTATAATGACAGCCAAAACAAGGCTTCTTCTGTGATTAAATTCCATGAAACTAGCCAGTGTACTGTATTATTTACACTGCTAAAGGCATACATTATGTTAGCTCTGAGAAGCTGAAAAAGGCTCGTATTCATCTCATTGTTCCCAGTGCTTGTGACAGAGAAGAAGGATTGTCTGTGCTGGCTTGCCCAGGCTACACACAGCACCTGGATGTTTCCTTAAACACCAGACTGGAAAGTGCCATAACCTGTATTTTAAACAAGTTTAACAATCAAGTCAGCACGCTGAGTGAAGCAGATTGTGCTCCACTGTTTGGATGGACTTCATATAACCAGTTGAATGCCTCAAGGGAAAACATGAAAGAGAAAGAATTCTGCTTCCTCAAAGCCTTTTAAATCCTGCTGCAAGAGTGCAAGAGCCACCTCCTTTAAGCCTGTCTCCCTCTCTCTGTCTCTCTCCAGATGTGTGTATATATATATATATATATATATATATATATATCATAAATACACATGGAGATACAAATGTACAGATGTAAATGCAGGCAGAGGTACATGTCCACGTAGAGATATATATGGACAGATACATGCATAGATATATACGGAATTACACTTCTGTGGGCAGACGCATACACATAAGTTTATATAGATATGGAGATATAGATGGAGACAGAGAAAAGTACATGTGGAGATATAGATACATGGACAGATATATATGCTCACATTTATATACATGGAAATTCTATATAACTACAGGGATATGCATGGAAATATACAAACATAGATGCATGGAGATACATACATAAGCAGGAACTTGTATGGTCACTACATTAGCTCAGGATTCTCCTACCGGTTACTAGTAGTGCTCATGAAATTCCTGCCTCTGCACAATATGGAGGTACAGGATGAAGACTCTATTCCCTTTGACAATCTCCCATCCTGTTATGGTTTATATCTTGATGCCCCCAACAGCTTCAGATGCTCTTAGGCTGGAATTTTGGAAGGTGATTGTATTGCAGGAGATTGATATTTGACTTGTTGGGAGACAACATCTGGTTAGAAGAGGTAGATTACTGGGGCCCTGGCCTGGAAGGTTTTTCGACCTCCCCAGCTTCTCCTTGTGATGGTCTTTGCTTCCTGTCTGCCCCTCCTGGAGAAGTTTTCCTGTACTATGTCCTTCTACCATGGTATCTTTGGAGCCTGCCAACTATGCACTTTAAACCTATGCAACTGTGAGCTAAAATAAAATCTCCTACTTTAAGTTGCAGGTGTCAGATATTGTGTCTCAGTGACAAGAAGGTGACAAAGGAAAGTCCTCTCTCATACCAATACTGTGTGTGTGTGTGTGTGTGTGTGTGTGTGTGTGTGTGTGTGTGAAATCTTAACCACTGAACTTTCTTACAATTATAATATTAAATTTAAATTTACTTAATAAACTTTTAGCCCCAAAATCCAATAATAAGCTCATTGAATTTGGGTTGCCCTTATTCTAAATCTTCCCTCAAAAGTTATTTATTTTCTGAGTGTATTATGCAGTTTTCAAAACAGTTAAGATGTTTTATTCATTTATTATAGTCAATACAGAATTCTGAACAAAAACACACAATATTAGATATATAGAGACATATATATATATGCAAAGAGAATTATATTTCAAAATCCAACCAAAGTAGAAATCCTTACGCTGTTTTTGAAGGCAAAGAATCCTATTCACAATACTTCTAATATGTACAATTTAAGAGAATTTGACCCCTTAAAACATTTCTCATTAAGTCAATCATACTACCTAGAGAGCACTCACATGAGGACCCAAAGATAAAGAAGCCAGATAACCTTCACCAGCTCATACAATGAGTTGGAAGTGGTCCTAGACATATTCTGAAAATGAGCAAACTGTGGCACAGAGGCATACGCACTAAGATCTATGGCCACCAGTCTGCCCCTACACCAACCTCCCCAATGATTCTCACCTCTCTCTGTTTATGGGGAGGCGAACTTGCCAGCAAAGAGAACCGTACTGGTAGGAGTGTGCATTATAAAGAACAGGAAAGGATGATCTGCTAGGAACTGATGCCGAATGGGGAGTCTTTTTACAGCAATGTTGTCCCCAGTGGCTGCAGCTGCCTCCGTGCCCTCTTCATTGACATCCACATAGGACTTGTGGATAACTTTGGATAAATACAGGCCCTTGTCTGGTGACATTCCAGAGAAATCGGCTTTGGCTGGGTTGAAGACATGTGTCATTCCTAGGAATTTTAGCAGGGAATTTAACTCATATTTGATTTCAAGTTTGAATCGAGGGATATGTACTTCCACTTCTCTTTCCATCATGTTAGAACAGTTGGTCCACTGTTGAAAGGTCCTCACATTCAGCTGCTTTTCTATCTGAGAAATGAAACACAGATGAATCCCAAAGAGTCAGAACGTGTGTTCTTAGTTAATACATTTACTTATGTATTTCTCAGTGGGAATGGTTCAGTTTCATGACTTCCTATTCTATCTTTGAAGAATGCTCCTCCTCTCTGAGGAAAAAAATTCTAACAAAACAAGCCATCATGAGCAACTCTCCCCTTCTCTGTTGTCTACTTCTTATCTGTATTTCATCATTAAACTGCTTAGTATCCACTCTCGACTCCTGAGATTTTATACTGAATATTTTATACTTTATTTTTCCTGCTTCCTGGATGAATTCAAGCGTTTGTTCTTGGAGCTCATATCTGAAACACAATCACAGCCTTCTTGAAGAAGTTGATTCTCTTTTAGTTTCTCTATGTAAGATTCCCTTGTTCCACTCTGATAGCTTTTATTCCTTCCACTCTTCTTCATCCTCTGTGTTGCTGCTCCTGAAACTGAATTCATGGTGCCTCTCTGATGCCCTGTGCACCTCTACCTAGCATTTCAACTCCCCCAACTATGTTTAAATTTCCAAAGCAGCCTCAGAAATCTTGACTTCTCATTCTCCACCCATTTTCATCTTTTTTTTTCAACCCTTAGAACATCTCCTCTTAGGCATCTACCCTCTGGCGAGCCCTCCCCACCATCATGCTGTGGCAACCCTGTAATTCTAGCCCAACAATTAAAAATGTTTGTATCACCTCCTTGCATAGCCATACAAAATTCTGTATCACCTCAAGATAGAATTTATTTCTTTTTTGTCCTTTTCTCCCCTAATCCAAGTTACCATGACTTTGTGGCATGAACCCATCCATCTGACTCACATTTGTAAGATGTTCTTGTGCACTGTTTGGTCTGCCCAGAGCAACAGGGTCTTCATTTTCAACTCATCCAATAACATTCATGTCCAGATTATCATGGGGAACCTTCCCTAATCTTGTTCTAACTTATACCCTCTCAACATTCATAGGGCCTTCTGCAGAATTTAAACCACTCCCAAACTGTTCTACTCTATTTTCTCCAAATGTCTTCTACCCTAGATAACCACAAATCACCAGATCCTAATCCCCTTGAACTGACCACATATATAGGCACACCTGTTCCCATGGGAATTATCATGCTTCTCTACAGTTCTGTCTTTCTGAGGGGCACACGTCTTACTTCTTAACTAAAATGCACATATGCCTGCCCAACTGTCTCAGGAAACCCTGCCTTTGTTCACCTGCCTGACTGAGCCACACTGCTTTTCCCTCTAAGGCAGTTCTTGCTGATTTAGAACCTAATCTATTTAGAAACTCAAACTGTGACCATTTTATCTGGGTGAGGTTCAGCTTTTGCAGGTTCCCAAGGACTCTTGCTGTTTTCCTTAGAAATGTTATTCTACAGAGCCTGAGAGGTCCTGGCTAAGTTGGGGGAGATGTTGTGGTCATGCCAATGCCTCTCAATGAAAACCAACTTTGGATGTAGCCAAGAAAAGGGATTGGACTCAGTTCCTGATACCACTATGACCTCTTCTTCATGGTTGTGATGCTCATTCCCTTCACCAAATCATGGTATTAAAAATGATCAGGCCATGAAAGTATGTTATAGTTAGGTGAGAACACTGTCACTGATTTCTTCATCAGGTTTCTGTGGACTAGGAGCTCAAACAGAATTATAGCTTCCTTACTATAGAAAGAAGTCTCTCAAATACTTGAGGACTGATATGTATTTGCACAATGGGAGAATGGGTTGTCTTACCTAAATACATTGTCCCAAAGGGCAAGGACCTTTCTTACAGCACCTAGATCATAAATCAGTGGCTGACATACAGACATCACAGAACACAGAAAACACGTATGTAATGGTGAGTATGTGCATATGCATACATGCTTTCACGGCATGCTGGCATTCTTGTAATATTACCTCAGCTACATTAGCTGTGCCTACTGGAAGCAGAATAATCATACTCAGTTTTTTGTTAACATAAGGCATCTCAAGAACTTGCATATGAGGATTCTTTATGAAGGCCAATTTAAATGTTCCAGTTTGGTACATCATTTCCACAGTTACACTTTTACCCTATTAAAAGACAAAGTTATAATTATATACCAAATTTACACATATGAGTGAATATGTATGAAATACTTTTTTGTATAACAGAAATATCTGTAATAACACCAAAGATATAAGTGAAACGTATTTCATAAAATATATCCTTTTATTGCTTTCCTTTGAACATGTTATCAATTTTTTATTCTAAAATAAGTCAAAAATTAAAAGTTGGATAATTGTAAAAAACGTATACTAATTCTATCAAAAAAGACAAATTTCATGTTTACAATGGTTTATAAAGCAAAATAAAATCACAGGATCATTTTCTTTGTAATCCAATTAGACACTTGAGAAGAAAAGCAACACTGTTTTACTGTCCTGCTAGAAAAATTAGCACGGTACGTATAGAAAAGAAGCACAGATGGAATATTAGGAAAAGAGCAGATTTCTTCTCTCTCAGGGAATTTTAGTATACAAAGACCTGGTTGTATGTCCTGTAAGAAAAATTACTTACTATCACTTAAAAAAGAAAAAGTAAAAATTCATAGGAAGCACAGTTAAAGAAATTGAGGGCAACTTAGAACAATATTTTCACGAAATACTTCTGAATTACTCTTAAATGATTACTGCATTCTCTAAAATGTGTTATCAGTATGCAAATAAACTACTTACCTCACTTAGCTGAAAAGGGGATTTAAATGTCTGACTTTCCTGAAACTTATTTTGCCACTGTCCTTTGAAATATATGGCATTCACCAGGACCATTACAGAGGAAGGGTCAATTGTACCCTTTTCAAAGAGGTTTGTGATTTTTCCTGCATTAAAACAAAAAAAAATTAAAGTTAATTGTACTTAGTTTTGAAATTAATGATAACAGAGCATTGAATATTAAAAAAAGAAATTTAGAGCCACTTCTTAAAACTAGTTGTAAATTGACACACCAGAAGACTTTTATCTCCTGGTAATAGAGGGTTCCCTGTCAAAGGATTTTATTTAGATGAATATTTTGTACTGTGTTATTTCTCTTCAGAAGATCACATTCATGAGTAGATAGTGTGTTAGTCATGAATCAATTAGTCTCACACTTAGTTGTATCCAATTCATTACCATATATTACTATTTATTTAGAAAATTTTCTAATAATTTTTCAAGGCTTATATTAACTTTTTATCAGAATTTCACCTCACTATTTGCAAGCTGGGTACTTTAAAAGTTCCTTTCATGTACTAGAATTAGTGTATCATAAATATACTACATCATCTATAATTTAAATATACTCATAAAATACTCATCCTTTCAATGTATTACAGTTAGTGTATCATAAAAATACTACAGCATTTGAATTAAATAAACATCTGAAAATCAAGAATTAAGAAAAAAGATACCAAGAGTTACTGTCTTTATAAATATACTAATTAAAATTTAACACTCAGTCATATTGGCATATTTCAGTGTAACAAAATTTACCCAAACTTTTTGAAATATAATCTGTCATACAGTATGAAATGGAGATATCTGAAACACAAAATTCTAGGATTAAAGGAGGGTTTGTTTTTCGTTGAATTTCTGAACCTAACATAATAACTAGCAGTTGATTAAAATATCCAAATTTAAGGTCTCAAATTATATTTATGAATGAATGGATAAATAAACACAAAACATACTATGAAATAACAATCACAATAATATTCACAACAGTATATTCCTAATGTACATGGATGAGAGACAATACTATTTACTGTTGTTCATTGCTAAAATGATTAGTGACTTGTACTGGCCAACTACCATGCTAGGCAATGAAATAGTAAATTGACACTGCAACACTCAACTAAGCAGACAAAATTCCTTCCCTTTACAAAGTTAGTATCTCAGTTGTGCACTTTTTCATAGAAACTTAGAATAAATCTCAGACACTTTCTCATTAAACCAACCAATACTGAGTTGCCAAATGACAAAATGTATTTTTAACTACCATGCGAAGTAAATTAGAAGATTTTAAATGTATAAACATTTCTAAACATTTCCTGACTTAATAAAAAGAACTAAATAGATACAAATTTTAATTTGACAACAATTTTTAAACTTATATGATTTATCTGTTCATCAGACAAGAAGGTACTATTAAAACCTCACTGCTATTACGTGATACAATGGGGTACATATACATGGTTCTTTGCTCAAAGACATATTTTACATTATTGACAAGGTCTCCACAAATTCAATCAGCTCTAATTTAGTATTTTGATATGACTTAATCCCAATTTTTATATATTATTTAAAAAATTAAACTATTTGCCACTCCACACAATAAAATTGCCTAACTTCCAAAACAAAGAAACTACTGGCACAAAGCGGTACATAGCTATACAGTGAAAAGTTATTTTAAGATAAAAATTTGACTACACATCTTGTGGCTATTTCCTCGAGACAAAAAGAACCACAAGAAAATATTTTAAGATACTATTATTGACAGTTTTGCTAGATTTTCTCATCTTATGTACATTATGGGTTGAGATAACTGCAAAAATAGTGATGATGTTATAAAATGGGATTTTACAGATAAGATAATAATAGATGTTAGATAACAATCAAGAAATACACCACATACCTAGAAACAAGTCATCAACAGATGCAAAACTTTAGCACAGAGAAAAGTAAAAGTTATTAAAATATTTGCACATGATGGTGCACATCTGTAATTCCAACACCATGGAAGCCTGATGCAGGAGGATTACAAGTTTGAAGTTAGACTGTGCACCTGAAAGCTTTAACAAGACCTTCTCAAAATGAGAAGTGCTAAGGTTATAACTCAGTGCAGGAGTCTTGTGTTCCATTCCCAGCATCAACAAAAATCAGCCAGTCATTCAATCAATGGCATTGAAAGGAAATTTTAAAAGACCTACATGAACAGAAATAAATTCTACAGTAATAGATGAGAAGGTGAAGGAAGATATTCTCTCTTCAAATACACAGACTCAGTGAAACTAAAATTCAGATTCTAACTGACATGGAAGATGGATGAACAAAACTAATTTTGAAATATACCTGGAAATATAATGATAGAGAACAGCAAAGCGGTTCTAAGAAAGCAGGTCAATGTTCACTTTAGCTATCAGAAATTCTTATACAGATATTATAATTGTGGCATTGTTGTGGAAATAAACAAATAAATAAATTAAACAGAATAGAAATCCCAAGACTAAAGTCACAGATATACAGTTGTCTAATTTTGATGAAGTCTACATTGCAGTATAATTCTGACCAGATTAATAACCTTCTTTATCAAATACTGCTATGTCAATTAGATGTTACGGAGACTGAAATGGATTTAAAAATAAATATTAGTTGTAATTAAGTAATGAAGTTTCTAGTAGGTAATATTTAAAAATATTTTACCAAAAAGTAGACAAAGATTTTTTTGAAAATATACAAGGGCACATATCAAGGAAAATATTGATAAATTCTATTTTTTGGAAATGAGGAACTTGTATTCATCAGAGGCAGCATTCAGAGAGGGAAAAGAGAATGGTAGAAGCTACTTGAAATATAGGCATTCAGTATGTGCAAAGATCTCTTACACGTTATAAGGAAAAAAAAAATCCAGATAGGACATTCTTATAGATGGTCAAAAGATTAACAGGCACTTCATAAAGGGCATGAAAATGTGTTCAACTATACAATTGAAAAAGTGTTCAACCATGTAGTTCCTAAGGGAAATGGAAATGGAAATGACCACAGTGTCTAAAATTAACAAGACTGACAACAATAACTATTGTCAGGGATGAATAATAAATGAAATTCTTATTGCGTGGAAAAATAAATTAATACATCCACTTAATAAAGATCTTTCCATTGCTATATTGAATATATACATACCCTAAAAACAACTTCATTTTGAGACATACACCCAAAAGAACTGCACACACGTTTATACCAAAAGACTATCAAAATGCTTATCAATGTATCACGATATATATAATTGACCCAAACTAGAAATACCTCAAATGTTCACTCAAAAAGCAAAACATATATTGATGAAAACTAGCATGTCATGTAACATGTCACTGCATGGCTCTCAGAAGCAGAATACTGAACTTAAAAAGTTAAACACATACTTTATGATTCTGGTAAGATGGAGTTTTAGGATGGGTGTATCTTATATTGAGAAATTGAGAGCTTAAATGAAAGAAGTCTTAGCTCTTGGGAGGAAAGGCTGTTAATTTCCAAGACAGGATGTGAGTATGGCCCCTTTATAGGAATGAATGCTTTATTTTTCTGATTTAAGCAATGATAAATTATCAAATATCTTAATACAGTAATTTATTTTTCTGTAAATGTGGGTATTTCCACAATAATTTTGAAAAAATATCAAGATTTAACACAGTGACAAACTGCAATGTATTAAATGTTGTCTGCTTCCTGATTCAAGCCACAAAAGGCAACTGGGAAGACAGGAAAATTTTTTGAATATTTCTAATATTAGTTATTTTCAACCTTGTAAATATAATGTTAATATTAAAATGGTCTACTTTTATGAAACAGATATGTGTATAAGGAAAATGATGATATCTCCTATTTTCTTTAAAATGATTTGGAAGAGGTGGTGGAAAAGGGAGAGCATCGACCAGTCAGGCAGGCTACTGGTGATCTCTGCAGTTTAATCGCAGTTAAACAAAAGCCCATTATATACTGTGTCTTGCATACCTTAAGTTTTTTCTTAGCTAAGTATTTTTAAATCAGTGTACCTTTGAATCAAATATTTAAAGTGCTATTTTTAGAAAGAAATATTTAGCAATATATAGGATGTTTTACACTGTGAACGGTAGATTTGGTTTTAATTAAATTTAATGGCAGAATTCACAACGCTTCAACAAAGCAGTAGCATTCATTTTTAGTCTCACTGTATCATACATTAGTCACTGATCATGCATTAGCACAAATGATTGTAAATGACATTTCAAAATTCACCCCAGTTCCTTCCTCACTCATCTATCTCAGGTTCTGAACTTTAGTCAGCTTCCTTGTTAGCATGTTGACTCAGGAAACTTGTCAAAATGACACAAATGAAGCTTGTAGATACATATTTGCCTTCTCCTTACCATTAGTTTTCCTTTCAACCCAAGCATTGATAGTTTTCCTTGTTTCTTCTGTAGATCGTTCAAAATCAACAATTTGTAGTCTGGCTTGGTAAAGTTTCTCAGAACAGCTTAAATATTGCTACAAAAGAAAGGACACCTGAACAATAAAAAATACTGTAATGAAAACAAAGATCTTACAGTTCAATGTATTCTGAAATCTTAATACATAGACAAAAGCAGTTCATGTATAAAAGTTCAGAAAAGAACAAAATTTGTATGGTTGTTTTTTAAAGAAAAATAAATGTGATAACATCTGAAATCTTTTCCATATAATTAGTGTTCATATGTGTTTAGTTGTCACTTCTGTCATATCTGGCTTTTTTAGTTCTAAAATGACAGTTTGTAATATACTGGTACCTTTTTCAATCTCTTCCTATTATTTCCTTTTCAAATAAAAGAAATAAAAGTAACTCATCTCACATGAGACAAAAGAAATAAGCACACACACTCACACAAAGAAATAAAACATAACCAAAGTAGTAAATGTTTTATATCAACTTCTTAACTTAAAAAAGTCAGCAATAATATCTGATACAGACAATTGACTTTTTAAAAATTATACAAAAATAATTTATGGAAATATAATAAAAAATTTAAAAATAGTTATTATTTTTACCTATAGCATATTATATAAGTGAAAGTAGTATACTCACTCAGTACAAAGAAGCTAGGTTTCTCTGTGTCCACTCACAAACCCCCTGTATATAGCCTCCTAGAACCATCATTGACCATAACTCATGGTTTTTCATTCCTAAAATGAGAATTTTTCTACTTTCTCCCTTGCAAGGCAATTTCCAAAGTCTTCGTGGACCAATTGAAGTTGCCAATAGTTTCGTTCTTGAGAACTTGGGGACATAGGACTGAAGACTTAGAAATGTGTTTGGTATGCAGGTGGCTTCCTGGGGTCTGGTTTTCCAGTGACCTCACTTGGTTCTTTTGCATCTTAATCCAGTGTTAAAGAAAAGCAGTTTAACTAATGGCAAAATGGTGTCAGGATGACTTTTTAGTTTTATTGGACCATTTTAGATATTATGTATACACACAATGCTCACATTCGTCACAGAGAATTTGTACTGGTACATAGTATGTCTTTCTTCTTCTTTTTTCCCCAATTGCCTCCCTTCTCTTCAACACCTCTTCCCCTGCTTATTTACAAAAGATATTACCATTTTTCCCTTTTATAATTTATTTTTTCTTTTCTTTTCTTCCATCTCCTCCTTCCCTTGTTCCTTTCTCATTTGAACGTTTTCTTCCTTTTTCCCTACATCTATTATACATTTTGGTCCTTATGTATCTTTTTGGTTTCTCACAGCAAAAAAACAATGCAGTATTTAAACATGTGTTTCTGAGAGTATCATTTCTAGGTAAGTGGTTGTACCTTGAGACCACAACTTTATGTCAGGATTATTTTTGCCCTCAACTATGTACAACTGTGGCTGGAATATCCTTTAATGACCCCATGAGCCCATGAGCCCATGAGATAATAGTATCTTGGTATAATAAAATAACTCTCATAGTCCACAGAAATCATGATACTAATGACTAGCTCCTTATTGCTGGAACTGATACAATCATTATTGTTTCAAATTAACCTTTATCTACTATTATGTCTGTGTCACTGATTGGAAGTGGCAAAGAGATAAGAAAAAGCATTCAACACCAAAGAACCATGATCATGAATACCTATCACATTAAGGGCAATATCCATGAAACATTTCCTATATGCTTCTAGGGTAGTAGAATACATGCCTTAAATGTCCACAGTGTCAGGGTGGTTTACCCATCCCAAGTTGTAAAAATTCTATTGAAAATCTGTCACATCTAAGATACAGCCAACTCCTACAGGAATGAGGGAGAAAATTGCCCTACTGGGCTGAGAAAGAATCAGGGGTTCATCTTACTTGTCCTAGCTGATATTTAACCAATACTGATCAAAGCATGCATCACTTAATGCTCTAATTCCACCTCAGTAACAAGAGGATGATACAACGATTACACATAGGAAGACAGATAGATAGAGGTCAAATCTAGGTGTTGACACTTCATTATATTCATAGCTAACATCTTGACTTTTCAGGATTTCTTCAGTCTTCAGAATTAGTGGCAATTTTCTACCTCTATCTAGCACCACGTAAGCACTGTTATAAGATAATGCCTATGTATTAAATAAAGTAACAGGTACATAAGTGAACAAAACTATATCTTGCAATGTTTTGGGAAAAGGGTACAAATTAGTGTTAAAATTCCGGAGCAAGAAAACATTTAGATTCATCCCCTCATTTTAAAGATAGAATTTACCGCCCACAGTTTGTATGTTTAAGTGGGAATGAAACACAGATCTTTTTCCTGATCCAGTGTTCTCTCAACTGCCTCTTGCTAGTCTGCCGTTAGGTCTTCTGAAGAAGATAGAAAAATATGTATTTAATTTTGCTTCCTACTTACAAGGAATAATTCTTACCTACTTTGTTTCATATTTCATCTTTGGCCTTTAAAGATTCTATAATAGTAAGAAAGTTTTATAACATTTCACAGTTCTAAATTTCTGTAAAACCATTCTCTGAACTCTTAGTCAATTCAAGATCTGTCTTTTAGAGACAAATGCTATACCACACTTCTCAATCTTTACTGATTTTACAATGTGAGATTAAAAGTGTCAGATGTGCTCACCTGATGGAATGCCATCGTCTTTGCCCCATAGAGTCTGTTGGCAATGCTGAGGGTGTAGTTAGAATCTGGTTGGTTGATTTGAGAGAGAAGGGCTCCAAACTCTGAATGTATTCTTCCAGCTTGGCTGCACTGACACCAATAAAGACAAAATGACGTATCAAATTGCATGACTTCTTGCCACTGGAGAGTCATAAATAATGTGAATACAATATCTAGAGAGTGAGATGTGTGCTTTTGATTAAGATGGCAATGAATTCACTGAATACTCCTGTATTCAGTGAATACAGGAGTACTGTAGATTTTGTGGAGTAGTACTCTTACTAATTTGTGACTTTGGTTATAGATTGTGGGCAGAATCATATGCATTTGTGGGCTCTTTTAGTTTAATTCAAAAAGTGACATTTTCATTTGAATTCAGAGATTCTAATATAGTATCTATGTACAATAATTAATTTTTGTTATATCTTTATACATGTAAGATAATTTATCTCTTCTACTATATTCTTTTCAATTTCTTAGTTTTCCATGTGGCTACTTAATCAAATACTCCAGCCCTTTTCTGAATAATACCAACATATTCATTTGTCCCTTGGTAATACTAATCATACTATATCTGCAGCCATGATACATTTGAAAGGTAGTCAAGAATTCATGGACATCTTAGGGATTATGTTTATACTCCCTAAGAAAGTGATTCCAAAACCAACAACTTTAGTCTCTAATAGTGATCAGGGTTCTGGGAAACATGTTTTGTATGAATTCATATGCATTTATGTATATTTTCAAGCACTATCAAACAACTATTTTCATATGGGAATTCTATACAACTTTAATATCAAGATGAATGCTTCTCCTAAGAAGAACTGGATACCACTGTCACAGATCAGGTGTGTGGAGGAGTGCCAAGTCCACTATGTAATTATATGACCTAGCATCATTCAAGGTCTTTTCTCATTCCCCTCAATGAAAACTTCTAACATTGTATAGAGAAGGTTGGCAGATTCAACAAGAGACATAGAACAGAAAAACAGAGTAATGACAGCAATAAATCAGTTAATAACATCTGAGGGACTTTATTGTTACTAGTATCATCATTATTGTGTTAAACTCTATAAGCTTTACTGGTTATCAAGAAGATGAAAGAAGACAGAGTAACTCCCCTATGGGATGAAAAAGGATCTGGACAATCATTTCCCAGTGCTTTTATGTTAAAAAGCACTTGACACTCATCCATGATAGTAACATACCTCAGATGAATCCTTAAACTCTGGTTTTAAAAGCTCTCTAGTATGTTGATAGTGAAGTACCTAGAAAAGGAAAAAGGAATTGATAGGCAAAAATAATAATAAAAATGTATTTTTCATAAAGTTGAGAGTTGCATTTACATTTCAATCAAAAACTATGAGGATAGTTAAAAATGTTAAATTGCAAGTCATGGATCAGTTTTTATATACCTTATTTAGCTTGATGAATAGATAACTTTTATCCTTATTTTATTTTAGGAAAATTGAGTTATAAAACATGAAATACCTTGCCCAAACCATTGTCTGTCAGACTCCAGGGACTGAGCCCTTTTGTTACTAGTAGCTTCTGCTCCTTTCCTATTCCTCCCAAGTAATTAATTAAGATGGCACCTATCTTGGAGCCAGATAAACTGTTACATGTTTCCCAGTATAAACATTAAACCAAGTATTTTAAAAATCAGTAAGTGATATATTCTAGCTATTCCACAGCAACGTTTATACCACACATGAATTATTAAGACCAGTATTAGTCTAGGTAAACAGAAAGTGGGAAACACTATCCCTCCCTGCTAATGGAGTTATTATGAAAAAATATAATAATGAATATTTTTTACAATTTGGTAATTTCTACAACAACATTAAGTTTATCATTAAGTTTACACTTTGTAGGATAAGAAATGGACTGTGCTTGTGACCTCCAGCACCCTTAATTCACTTAAAAGAAGAATTCTGCACATTTTATGCAGAGATTTCCTTGTGAAACTCCTGATAAGAAGAATCTATGCATTGCGTAGACTGCATTTTTGCACTAAAATTTATTAAAGTAAATTATTTCCCCTTTTTAAAAAAATGTCACTTTCATAAATGTTTTTCTTTTACTTGATGATAGTTTTCATTTATGAAGATAGCAGTCATTTAGCAGATCAGAATTGACATACAGAAGACATTCAGGCTCCACAGTAGTTTTTCTTGCATTTATTACCTTTTCTATTTGCCTTCCAGTGTATCCTCTGGCACCAAGAAGGATCATATTTAGAGCATAAAGCAGACTCAGTGGAGAAAAGAAGATGTTATCTCCTGCATTATTACTGTTCAGCTGCTTGTACAGATCAAGGCAAAATTCAACGTTTGCTGTGGAGAGGGAGCCCATTTTTATTTCAATTACTACCTAAGAACAGAAAGGGAAAATAAATCACAGAACGTCACCTGATAATATGGAGTTTATTTACATATTTCACAAATTCAAATGTCTAAGTACACAGTTTCACGAAAAATTATAAACTCTTATCACAGCTTCTAAGAAATTAGTAAATTCTAGAGGGAGGAATCCAACATTGTTTCCAATTCTAATAAATAGAACATTTACTGTTCCTCCAACCAATAGTTCAAAGCTATCTTATTGTCACTTGTGTACCTTTAATAATTATCTGTAAATATTTTGGAGCAAAAAGAGCCAAGATAATTGGATTTTTTGTGCACTTTCATGCTTTAAGACATTTTTTATTTCAAAATTTGTATAGACAAATTCTTGAGCTACACAAACTGAGACAGAAAAGTTTGCCACCAGATTGGCCATCTTCCACAGTCTTCCACAAGAGGACACTTTCATCCTGCCCTGTCTTTCACAAACAAATTTGGAGTGACATAAACTTGGGCAAAATTCTCTGCACATGTTAGTCTTCCTAATGAGTCTTCATTCCTGTTCTTCTACAAGAAAGTAAGACAATGTTAACAAGCAGGTCACAGTCTCAGTTCATGGTCACTAAGACACAATACACCACACGCACAATTTAATAGAGGGAAGGTTTATTTGGGTTTACAATTTCAGAAGGTTCAAACGATGTTCAGCAGGCTCCAACACAGCAAGGGCATGGTAGAATGGCTCACCTCTGATAAAAGATGCTCACATTGTGGCAGCCAGGAAGTAGAGAGAACAAGGAAGCTAGGGAGGGTGATCGGTTCCTCCAGGTCATTCCCCAAGTGACCTGTTTTGCTGACCAGGTCTCACCTTCCAAACTTACATAAAGTGACTGACCTCACCAGTGAATGAATTCATGGACAAATGTAATGCCTTTGTGGGAAGGCCAATCACCTTCCCAAAACTCTGCCTCTAGGTGCATGAGAATTCCAGGGAATATTCTGAATCTAAACCCTAACAGTCATGCCATTAGGTGCTGTTCAGAGCCCTCAACCCAGGTTTGTACCATGATGTCAGTTAAAATTGAGGAATGGAGGAGAAAAATCTTAGAGAAGAAATAATTATGCTGGGATATATTTTATCTTAGGATAAGAGCATGTTTAGAAGGAAACATTTATTCTATTTGTTCTACAATATTTACTAAGCACCTCAAGTTGTAGGGTGTTGTGGATACAAAAATAGTCAAGAACAGTTCTTGTACTGGGGAGACTTCCTTCTTAAGGAGCCTTACTGCCATTAAGCACTTGATCATATTGACTCCCAGGTAAACATTGTCTCTTTGTTCACATGGATCTCTGTGGTAACCCTGTCTCAGTGTCTTGTGCAGGACTGTTTTCCATTTTCAACCACTGTGCATCATAGTACCTCAAAATCCAAATCTTTGGCTCTCATTTATTTTGGTTCACTAACCATGTGGTCTCATCCAACATTATGTCTTAAATGTCCCTGGCAAGCGGTTCACCCCTGTATTTAGACTACATGTCCCTGAATGCTAAGTCCGTACATCAACTGCCTATGGACATCTCCATGGATGTCTTGTAGATATCTCAAACTTAGCATATTAAATGATAGGCTCTCATTTTCCCAAGTCCTTCCTCTACCTCCATCTCATTCTTCTTACCTCTACAGAAGGCAATTTCAGCTTATCAGAGGTGAGCCATTCTACCATGCCCTTGCTGTGTTGGAGCCTGCTGAACATCGTTTGAACCTTCTGAAATTGTAAACCCAAATAAACCTTTCCTCTATTAAATTGTGCGCGTGGTGTATTGTGTCTTAGTGACCATAAACTGAGACTGTGACCTGCTTGTTATCATTGTCTTACTTTCTTATAGAAGAACAGGAATGAAGACTCATTAGGAAGACTAATGTTCAGGCTAAATTTTTAGGACCACCCTTAACTAGTTTCTCATTCTCACTCATATATAATCTATGAAAACATTCTATTTTCTCTAACTTGAAAACATTCATTAAATGTCCCTTCTCAGGCTCTCCACTACATCACTAGGTCAAAGGTACCATATTTTTTCTCCTAGAAGTTTGAGACAGTCTGCTTACTCATTGCCAACTTCAGTCTTTACCCACCAACATGGGTAAAGACTCCTTTTTTCCCTTTGCTTTTGCTTCTCTCTCTCTCTCTCTCTCTCTCTCTCTCTCTCTCTCTCTCTCTGTCTCTCTCTCTCTCTCTCTCTCTCTCTCTCTCTCTCTCTGTCATCGTCTCCTTTCTCTCTTCTCTTCCTCATATACCTCTTCCTCCTCCTCTTCCTTCCCCTCTTCCTTATCCTCTCTAAACATCCAAACTGGCTGTGTGTGTGATTCTCTTCTCAATGTTCTTCCCCCACCTACTCCCAGACTGTTGTAGAGACCACCACTGAAATTCTCTCCCACAGTCAATTTGCTGATCATGTCCTTTTAGGTGCCTTCAAATTCTCCCTAGAGTTTTTTAACTCTTGATTATATGATATTCATTCCTTTCCTTCTTTTTCTTTTTTTCCCCTGCTAATAGAATCTGCTTGAATGCAGATGTCATGTCATTGTACAGTTTGAGGAAGTCTCCTGCCCCTTCCAGTCCTCTGAAGTAAGCCTTCTTTTTGGTATAAATCAATTGAGACAGTTCACTATACCATGTCAGTGAATGCTTAGGATTCAAAAGATGTCATAGCAAGAAAAGTTGATGGTGGGCCTCTGCTAATGAGAGACATACAGGAGGAAATCAGTCACTTTCCTTTCAGAGCTGTGTCATGTATATGGGTAACAACTTATTGCAATGCCATGTAGGAGCCAGCCATAGAGTAACAAGGAGGATGTCCAAGACCAAAGACGGGGAAATCTTGAGTCCTTGATGACATATGAATTAGCAACTCTGGATCTCCCCTACCTTGGAATTTCTTATTATGTCAGATAAAAGCTTTTTCTTCTTATTGAAATAGGCCATTTCAGTTGTGATTTATCTTACTATAAGTAAAAGTTTCCTAACTTAATTTAGGAATTTCTCTATGTATCACTGTCCTCTAAGGCCTATTAGTCCACTGGTCCTCTATTCACTTTTTTCTAGGGTAGCTACATATTTTCTTTTATTTAGTCTTCATGGATCTGAAAATATTTCATTCTTTCACCTCTAATATTTTAGATTACAGTTTTGCTCTCTTTTCTCATCTAGCTTATTTTCCCTTGGACATTATGACAATTGGCTGATATTCATCTTCATCTTTGTACACTTCTTTTGTCTTCCACCAGTGCATATTTGAGCCAAGGTGTGTTCCCTAGGGTGTGACTCTGTTTGTCATAGATTCAGGCATTTGTGGCATGCTTCTCACCAAACTACAGTGCTTTGTGCCCTGATTGTCAAAGTCAAGTAAGCACATACCACAGACCTTCAGGAAAGAAGAAAGCATGTTATTCTTCCACATTTAAGCAGAGAAGGACCAAAAAGAGACATGTCACTCGTGGCATTGATAGGGATAAAAACTATGCCAACACATCCGTGTAATCAAACTGATTGTCCTAAAATTGTTGCTAACATTCCAGTTGTTAAACCACTCAGTAGTTACACTAAAACAAGACTGGATTACATTTTTATTTGCTCTTCATTGTTAAAATATAAAAGAAGGGTTTGCTAATCTTATTTAAATGAAAATATAATCCCTACCTTCATTACAATTCTGCTTGACAAGTTAATTTTAATGTATTTCTCTGTGATTCATGTACTAGGACGCTTTATTACATGATTTAATAACAAAATTTCACCCAGTAATAAAGCATGTCTAAGCCAGATTTTCTTCATATTTTATTCTGCATTATAATATAGGGAGTTTGCTAGTAGAGTCAAATACAGGAGTATAATTTCACATTTAGTTTCATAAGTAAATACAAACATGTCTTTCTTAAATATATGTCACATAATTACCATAAAATTGACTTCTCATCTAATGTTATTAAAGCCCTATGGTTACAAGGCAGCTAAGAAAAAAGCTTTAGAATATGCTGCCAGACTATGATGTGAATATGTTTATTAAACTGCTTGATTTTTCTTTGAGTTTCTAACTACACAAGATTAAGATAACCACATTCCTCGATTTTTAGCACAAGCATTTTAGGACTATAAAGGTCATTCTCTCCTTCCTTATTGCCTTGGACTGATTCACTGTCCTTTTTGTCCACCTCCATAAATAACATTTTATGTGTGTCAATGTTAAATATTAATTTTATTACATATTTTTATTTTCATAAAGGTGCTTCTACTAAATGGCTTATTCTTCACCTACAATGATATTTTTCAACATTCAACCATGTTACTCTGGAAACTTGAATTGCTGTTTCCACCACATTTTTGTCTTATCTATTCCCCAGGGGCAGATGCCCAAATGGCCACCTGGTTTGCAGTGATACAAACAGTGCTGTGGTGAACATCCTCATACACACCTGCTTCCATGGCTGTATGAGAATTTCTTTGTAAAGGAAATGATTGAACCACAGCATTCATGTATGTCCCAAGCATTGCACATGCATTATTCTGCCTTACATTTCACATGACAGGCCCTATTTCTGCAGCTCTGCAGAGGAGGCAGTGTGGCCTAGGAGAGGTCAAACATTTGTAGGTGGAGGAGTCAGAATTTGAGCACAAGTTCATTTCTGCTCCTTCCACTTGCTTCCATGGTAGTCAAGAAGCTGTTATTAGAGATTGATTTTATTTTATTACACTATCCTTAATCATCCCTATTTATAAAGATAGTGATTTTCCAGAAGCATTAAAAATTTTGTCCAAGATATAGAACATCAATAGGCTTAATGTAATAGTTACCAGTTAAGTGGTATAATTCTGTTTGCCCCACTTCACAGTTAGAGCCTAAAGCTCTTCAGGGATCCACGTCATAGTATAAAAAAATGATTACTTTAGATTCAGGTTTTTCTAAATTGTTATTGGAAATACGTAATTAGAATTGATTCATGAGCTTCAGTATTTGACAGGTTTATTTGCAAAATAGTTTTAACTATCCTAAGTGAGGCACTGAAGATGACAACAGTCTCATTCTCCAGAATTTAACCTTCTGGGTATTAGTAGAATCCGGTCACAACATAATCCCAAGGTTAATCTTATACTGAATCAATTTAATGCAGTAACCTTCTTTAAAAATTCCATCTACATCAGGTAATTGTCCTCGCATGGACAAAGGATGAGTGGATGAATGTCCACAGTTGGGTTCACTACATTATTTGTCTTCCTTACTGAATTTTACACTCTTTGGTGGCAGAGAAAATGTATCTGTGAAGTTACCGATGTTTTCCACATTTACACAAGAATCAACCCAAGTTGGGGAAATAAATAGTCCAAATATTTCACAACTGCCAGAAAAATTCCTATTGTTCAGTAAAGTTTCAGGGAAGAGTAGAGGATCCAGAAAAGACAGAAGTTCCAGTGTATACAGAATCTCATGGAAGCTGCCCAGATCTCTGAACAAGTTCCCACCTCGGTGGCGAGGGAGAGCTGGACAGGTACAAGAATTACAAGTGTTACAAATTGAATCCAAAGGAGAAACAAATGCAGAAAATATTTTCAAGTGGTCCTTCTGCCTAATTTTTAGGGAAATAAAAATCTCTGTCAAGCAACTGGACTGTGTTACTTACAGATTGCTATCAAAGGAGAAAAAAAAGAAAGATGCTCCAGTTTTAGCCGTCCTGAGATAAGACAAGGGATGTCTGGAAAAAGACAAAAGCTTGGGAAACATGAAGAGAGAAATGTTATTGGAAGGGAACAGTGACAGGAGAAGACTCCAAGGGGACAGAGGGTCTAAGTCAGTTGTAGAGGAGACACAGAATACTAAGACACCAGCTTCTCACAGTCTGGGATAGCTGGGAGAGCTCTAGAAATAGCAGAAGTTTCAGAATGTTCACCTATCACACAAGTATAAATCATGACACTTTATATCCATGTACACAAAAATATATATAATCAAGAGGTTAATTTTATAATGTCAAGAAAAAAATCCAAAACCAGTAAATAATTTCTAACACAAAGATACTAATGAGGCCAGTTCAACTGAATTAAGATCCTCTAAGAAGCCAAATGCTTCATCATACAGGGAACACAGCGTTGTGTGACTAGCTCTGTTTTGAATCAAGATTATCAGTGAATATGTAGAAAATAACAACAGCATTCCACTTTATATAAATCAGATCATTGAGATCAAGCAGGCCCCCCATTTTAAAACACACATTATTAATGACATTCAGTGTGTTAATGGGTTCATCCAAGGGCCAGCAAAAGCCACGTTCATTAAATAGTAAAATTTTCTTTCCTTTAGTTCCTTACACATGCAGTCAAAAGCCATGCATTACTGGTGTTTGCTCCCTTTTGATAAGTTCAGATAATGTAAAGTACAGAAATATTTTTCTTTACCTTTGTGTTTTCTGATGGTGATGTGGACAGGCTGGCAGGTTAGACCGGAGCTGTGTCCCTCAAAGGAAATACAATCCTTCACTTTTTGCTCCTCCCTTTTCCATCTGTGTTCTTGGTGATTCAGCTCCTGACCTGCTAGGTATGAAGTCCTTCTGAAGGCTTTGAGAGACTTTCAGGATGGCCAGCAGTTTTTGGAGAAGCACCTAATTCTTAACCCCCTGCTCCTACTGAGGAAGCATGAGCAAGATTAGCCTTTAATTAAGAAAGACCAACTGTCTTTCTAGAGTAACAGCAACATACCATGTTGACGCTACCATGTTCATAATTCCAGGGAAGGCTAATGACACAAACCTACTCAACAGGAAAGATTCCAGCTGTGACAAATGCTTCCTGGCCTGAGGCATATTTATCCAAGATATGTGGGCCCTTTGCTGCCTGGTTTTTATGTAGAGCTTCAGCAGTCTGCTGGCAGGTAAATCCTGTCTCATAAAAAGAACACAAGAGTGCGCTCATGCAGCAGTAATCCTGTGGTTTCAGTTTAAAAGCTTGGTAGAAGCAACAGATTGCCGCGATGTACAGGGAGTGTTATATCTGAGACATATAGTATTCAAAAGTGGGAAAGAAAAACTAGATTAGGAGACAGGATTAGATCCAGAGACAGAAGATATTTGGGGTGAATAATAGCATGAACCAATATTATTATTATTGGGTTTTGGGGGTACTGGAATTCCTTCTCGAGGTGACTTCTAGGTTCTGTCCTGAGTCAAGACAAGTGAAAATGGTACTAATACTTTATGAAAGGTAGGAAAAGAAACAGTCAGTTTGGAACAGATAAAAGTAGGCAAGGCAAAGAAGAATACTGTACAGTGTGAGTGTGGGCCACCATGCAAGAGAGAACAGTGGCAATTGTTTTACAATTCCTGTAAAAATAATTATGCACAAACAACACAGAGAACTAAAAGGCCCTCCTAGCTCCCATTTGCCTTCTGCTCAGAGCAGGATTTTTCTAACAAGAGTCAAGTTCAGCTGGGGGCTCCACTGTTTGGAAGGCTTATATCTAATGTGATGACTGATCCTCTAATTCTTGATTTTGTTTTCAAATCTTTGAAATTTCTGTAAGAAAAAATATGAATTTCTTAGCTTCCTTACTGCTTAAGTATAAGACTTATTAGAGAAAGTTTTATGTCCTTGCTTTTTCTGTTATTTTCCCTACTAGGAAAGAAGTTCATACTTCTCATTTTTCCTTGTAAGCAAGAGAATGCCCATTAACATAACTATCTTTGCATAGCTTTACCCTTTCATTCATTCCTTCTGTCTAGGGTTATGTCGTGAATGCCTAGAAATCAGTGTCAAACATAAGGCCTCACTTGAATGCAGCTTATTTGGGAAGTGACAGAAGGGAATCAACAGAAAAAGAAAAGCAAAACAGACGTGGAGGGAAAGTTACTACAACGCTTGTTATTAAGTTGACTTCAGGTACTTGATTGCTTGTACCTCTTGGAAGCCTGATAAAATATATCTCAGGGCCATCCACCAAGAGGAAAAAATAAGGGAAGAATCACCCTTTCTCCCCCTTTTGGTAAGGGAGCAATATTTTAGATGGAGCAATACTTGTTAGTAAAGTGAGAGGATATGGTAACAAGCACATTTTGCTGTTTCTACCTCTCGTGTGTTCCAAGAAGCTTGGAATGTGATCTACACAATCGTCTCCATTTTTACAAGAGTTTCACCATTTAATAGCAAGGACATTTCCTTAAAAAAAATACTTTTTCAGTGAAACATTACAACTCTATCCTATGAGCAAAGAAATTATTTTAAAAGAAATCATGTCATGTGCAAACCAAGGATTTTTGAAACAACAAACCTCCAGAGTACTTTCTTTTCTGTTCAGACTAACCTAGCACAAAATGTCTAGAGACATAAAATGCAAACCAAAAAACAGAAGTTAGTGAGGTATAGAACCAAGTAAAATACTCAATTAACAATACTATTATTTTTCAGGAGGTAGGGAGACAGCTCATCAACTTCAATGAGGCTAAGTCATAGAGAGATAGTTTTTGAAGCCATGCCTGGATCTCATTTTACTCTATACATGTGAAAAAAAAATCTCAGTAAGTCAAGAGGTATCTGCTACTCAAAACACAAACTAAGACAAGGTTGGCCATATTAAAATATCCTGTAAAAGTCATCAATAGACATAATTAAGACACAATCCACAGACTGGCAAAAGATAGACACAATGCAAAATTTAAAATGAATTTATATACAGGCTATACCAAGAACTACAATTTAAAAGTTAATGATGAAAATAAGCAAATATTTGCCCCATTACTCCTCTAAAGACCAGGTATGAATGACAAACAAGCATGTAACAACATGCCTGACACCACTAGTCATTAGAACACTGTGATTTAAAAACACAAAGTCATACACTGTCACACCCATTAGAATAAGTCAAAGAGAAAAAAATGATTACACCAAATTGGCAAGGATATGGAATAACAAGAACTGTCCTACACTTCAAGAATCTTCAAAATCTGCTAGGTCCTTCAAACATTAAATATACATTTACCTTGCAATCTAGCAACACCCAAAATATTTACCCAAGACAAATAAAAATGTGTCCACTATAAGATGTTCATCAAAAGAGAAAACTGGAGGAATAAAGATGGCAGATAGATAACAACTGGCTACAGAAGCTCTCTGAGATAGTCAACATAGAATTCAACAAAATACAGAGTGGGGAGCCCCAAACAGAGGGAGATGAATTCTCTCATCCCAAGAAGAAATTAAGGAGACTTGCTGACCATCTGAAGTCCCGCCGTGACTTGCCGAGGTCTCACCATGACTTGCCGAGGTCCCGCTGTGACTTGCCAAGCCGTCTGAGGTACCTCTGCCTCGAATCACTGGAGGCACAGTTACATTGAGTTTGGGGGTTGGTGAAAGGAGAGCTGAGCTGGCAGGGTGCCTACATAGACCTGTGGCAAGTGACGGGAGTGGAATCTTTCCATAAATAGGGGGTCTCCAGTGGACAACATTCTGGAACTGGGCAGGACTGGCAAGTACAAGAGGCAGCAGTGACTTCAGTGAATCGTTCCCTTCCCAAATGGGATTGGTGGAGTCAGATAGACCTGGGTCACGTGACCCAGCTGAGACTCAATAGGTTATCCGAGGTCAAGTCCCTGCAGTGGTGGCACACACTAACCACACTGGCCCAGTGGGGCCTCGGAGGTTTGGCTGATCCAAAGGAGAGGCAGCACAAAGTAATACAACCCTGCAGGCCACAGCAGCTTGACTGATCTGGAGGGGAGGGGCCAGCATATGCTGTCCCTGTCTGCAACTCACTAGCACACTGCAGTGGGAAGGGTCATATATTGAGCTTGCTTCAGAAGAATTGCAACCAACAAAGAAAGAAACTGGGGCCTCCTGGAAGAAGCAAAAAAGGTGGAAGAGGAAGCAACAACAAAAAGTCCCCAGGCCTCAACCCTGAGAACATTGACCCAGAACAGTTAAATACAAAGGAGAATGAGAGCAGCAAACATGCAATATCAGACACAGCACCAATGGACATAAGGAGACATATTTGGGACCTCATAGACAAGTTCAAAAGTGAAATATTTAGCCAAATAAAGCAAGATATAGGTAGATTAATAAAAGAGATACTAAGCACCCCTCAAGCAGACACAGATGGAAGAAGGGAGGAACTCAAACGACGGAGAGAACCATTTGATGAAGAATATAAAAAAATAGAATACATGAAGCAGATTCAAGGATATCACCAGGAAATTAAAAACCCTATGGAAAGATGGCAAATCAGCTTGAAAGAAACTAAGAATAGATTATCCAAACTGGAGGACAATTTTGCAATGTGGGAGTATGAAAGAGAAAACTTTTTAAAAATAACAAGGAAATAAGCAGTAACAATACAAAAGCTAGAAGATAACTTAAGAATCTATAACTTAAGAATAAATAATGTGAATGAAGAAGCAGGGATACAAATAAAGGAACTACAAAGGTTATTCACAGAAAATAATTAAGGAAAAATTCCCAAAATAGGAAAAGGAAATGATATTCTGATGTATGGGGCATACAGAACTCCAGCCACCTACAACCAAAACAGAGCTACACCCAGGCATATAATAATCAAGATCCCAGAAATTCAATATAAGAATAGAATATTAAAAGTTGTTAGAGACAAGAAACAGATAACTTATAGAAGAAGCCCCATCAGAATAATGGCAGACTTCTCGAAACAAACCATCAAGTCAAGAAGACCCTGGAGCAAAATATTCCAAGCCCTGAAAGAAAATAACCTCCATTGCAGACTGCTAAACTGCTAAACTGTCTTTAGAAATTAATAGAGAAACAAGATACTTCCAAGACAAAGAGGAACTTGGGAAATTCGCAATCACCAATCCAACTCTACAGAGAACACTGCAGGGCATTCGAGAGAGAGAAAAGTACTAGGATTCCAGGAACACTGGCAGAGAGGCCTCAATGAATGGAGCAGAAAACAGAATGAAGAAGATAAGCAGACAACTAATGGCAAAAAAGAGCATAACAGAAATGAGGCAGAAAAGATTTTATTCAGAACTGATATGATTGATAGTATCAAGTCTGAGAGTATATCCAACTATACTGAAGATGGCAAGACTCTATGATACACATTCTGGTTTGATAACTGATGGTTTTTGAAGTTCTATACTATATACAAAGTTGTGTTTTTATTAACACTGTTATGTAGTGATATATTCAATTATACTATGATGATATAGCCAATTATATTGGAGATAACAAGAGACAACACAGAAACTATGGTAGAACTTTTTGTACCATGGTCTTATATGTTTATTTTGTTTCATGTGTTTATAGGAATATGTTTTGTTTTGCCTTGCTTTGTTTTGTTTCTCCCTGTAATATAGAAATGATAGAAATACGTGTTGAGACTCATGCATATGTAGAATCTACAGTTTATGAGAACTTATGACACATGATGAAATGAACAGATACTTTGAAGAAAAAGAGACACTAAAATACCCAGTGCTGATCCTGGAATGTCATACTGTGACACCCAGCAATAGTATTATTCTTTGTTCAGAGTGATATTAGCCTGCTTGGGTTTATTCAATCTCAATATAGTTGAAGATATGGATAACTGCATGTATGTTTAAGTGTATAGGAATGATAACCATATTTCTAAGTTTTTGTTGGATAGTTGAACAGAACTGGTTGTAAT